CAATAAAGTCCATCGAGACATCTGTCCACATTTGAGTGGGAACTGGTAGCGGCTGAAGCAACCCCGCTGGCCTCATGCAGTCTGTCTTGAAGCGCTGACATACATCGCACTGTTGCAAGAATTCCTTCACCGCTCGACGCATGTTAGGCCAAAGGAAACTACGCTTGATATGAGAGAGGGTTTTATGGAATCCAAAGTGCCCACCTACTGGAGATGAATGGCAATCGACAATTACCTTTGAAATCAAGGTTGAGGCTGGGCTCAAATAAATTTTGTCCCCCTTGAACCACACTCCATCTCGTTGGAGCAGCTTGTGGTTTGAACGGGAGGGCCATTTCTTCATCAATTCTCCATAAAATGCATCCTGTTTGACTTCTTTTTGCAGCATCGGCCACCAATCCGCATGTGGTATAGAGATTGACAGAATTTGAGATTCAACTATACGAGACAAGGAATCCGCACCTTGATTTTCAACCCCTTTTTTATACTCAATCTCGTAGTCATAACCAAGTATCTTTGGCAGCCACCGTGTTTGTGCTGGTGTAGTTATCCGTTGCTCGAGCAGATACTTAAGGCTTTTTTGGTCGGTGCGGACTGTAAAGGGTTTCCCAAGCAGATATGGGCACCATTTCTTAACGGCTTTGACAATAGCTAACATCTCCTTCTCATAGGTGGATGGTGCCAAGGCCGAACCTTTCAGTGCTTCACTAAAATATGCCACTGGTCGATTTTGTTGGGTAAGGATTGCACCAATTCCAGTTCCACTCGCATCGCACTCAACCACGAATCGCTGAGAAAAATCCGGAAGACAAAATTGGTGGTGAAGTTAGTGCTTTCTTCAACTGTTGAAAGGCCAGCTCTGCTGTCTCGTTCCATTGAAATCCTCCCTTGGTCAAGAGTTGGGTCAAAGGAGCTGCCATGCTTCCAAAGTTACGGATAAACTTCCGGTAGTAACCTGCTAAACTGAGAAAACCACGGACCCCCTTTGTTGTGGTCGGTGTAGGCCACTCGATAACAGCTTGTATTTTGGTTGGATTAACTGACACGCCTTGCTCCGAAATTATATGGCCCAAGTACTCGACCTGCGAAACACCAAATCGACATTTCGACATTTTTGCAAACAAATTGTTAGAGGACAAGATTTTTAGAACAATTCACAAATGAGATATATGGTCTTCCCATGATTTCGAATACACCAGAATGTCGTCGAAGAAGACCAAAATAAATTTCTGGAGGTATGGACGGAAGAGATCGTTCATGAGGCTTTGGAAGGTTGCAGGTGCATTCGTTAGGCCAAATGGCATCACTATGAACTTGTAATGCCCTTCATGCGTCCGGAAGGCTGTTTTAGGAATGTCTTCTTCTCGCACTCGAATCTGATGGTACCCAAACTGTAGATCCAGTTTGGAGTAAAATTTGGATCCGTGGAGCTCATCTAATAGTTCATCGATCACAGGAATTGGATACCTATCTTTGACCATGATGTCGTTCAGTGCTCGATAGTCCACACAAAATCGCCAAGCCCCATCAGCCTTCTTCACTAACAGAACCGGTGACGAAAATGGGCTGTTGCTTGGTCTTATCAATCCTGACTGTAGAAGCTCCTTCACCATCTTCTCTATCTCCATTTTCTAATAATATGGGTATCGATATGGCCTCACACTAACTGGTCCCTTGTCGGGAAGGAGCGGAATTTGATGGTCATGTGGTCGTTTAGGAGGCAAGTTGGTGGGTGGCTCAAATACATGGGAAAACTCGGTTAGGAGGTTGTCCATCTCAGGTGGGTAGCAACTTGGTTGGTTACTTCTATTGGAAGGGACTATTTGAAAAAGGAACCCAGTACCTTGCAATCCATTGGACTCCTTGTCGGTTAAGGCTTCGATGCTGGCTCGTCCCAATCCCTGGAAGGTGCAGGAGATTCCTCCCTTCTTAAACGTTAAGGTCAGTTGTTTGTAATCCATCTCGATGGGTCCGAGAGTTTCTAGCCATTGCACTCCTAATACCAACTGGCATGCCGCGACTGGAAGAACGTAGAAGTCGGCAGTAATGGAATGTCCTTGAATGACGAGGGTGAGAGCCCGACACTGCCCAACACATTCTATCTTTTCTCGGTTGGCGACCATGACTTGGAATTTCTTGTCTCGGCTCACTGGTAACCCAAACTTAGAGACTATGGCCTGATCAATGATGTTGTGGGTGTTGCCACCATCAATTAGCACCGTCACATTCTTGTTTTTCAGCTTGCCTAGGACATGTATGGTTTGTGGGTGCTCAGCTCCTGCAATTGCATGGAAGGAGATCTCAGGAATAGCTTCTTGGTTTTTTGCCTCTGGTTCGACATCCTCCATATCCGCCTGTATGGGATCCTCGATCATAAATAATTGTGGTCGTTCGCAACGGTGGCCAGAAGTGAACTTCTCATCACAATAATAACATAACCCCTTCTCCCGACGTTCTCGTGCCTCCTGGTTGGTGATTCGCCCAAATGTTGCTGGTGGAGCACTGGGAACTTGGTTCGTGCGCTGGGTTGGTGGAGGCCCTAGCACACCAGCTGTTGGGTTAGGTGACACCCTCTGTGTTACTATGGCTGGTTGGGAACGAACTTGCTGGTTCTATTTCCTTTGTAATTGATTTCGTTCCTCAATTAGTCGAGCCACTCCGATCGTATCTATCAAGGTTCTAGGCTGCTTAATCTTCACATCTATGCGAATGTCATCACGAAGTCCTACAATAAAACAGCCAGTTAGAAAACTCTCGGGTAGGCTGTCAACTCGATGGGAGAGCCTTTCGAAAGCTTCTTGATAAGCTGCCACAGTTTTGGTTTGCTTAAGGCGAGTTAAAGCTTCCGACGGGTCCTCGTAGTCGGTTGGACCAAATCGATGTAGCACAGCCTTGGAGAATTCTTCCCATGTGAGCAGTCCGCGATGTTTTGTCAATCATCTGTGTCATTGCAAGGCGATGCCTTCTAAATGGAAGGAAGCTAGTTGCACTCGTTGGTCCGATCCAATATTTTGGAAATCAAAATATTGCTCTGCCTTGTAAATCCAGCCGCTTGGGTCATCCCCATTAAACTTTGGGAAAGACAATTTGATGTGTTGATGAGGGCGATCATGGGTGGAGCTGGAACGAGAAGTATGTTGGTGTGAGGACTCTTCATGTGCGAAGGGGTTGGTCTTGGGAGTGGTTCGTGTGGCTCGAAAGGCTTGGAGCTCGGTTAACACTGCTTGTAAGACAATGTTCACCTGATCGAAACTTGACTCATGTCGTGCTAAGCTCTCGTTGACTTCCTTGTGAAATTCTACGTTGGTTTTACCGCGAGTGTCCATGGTCAGAACCGGCTTTGATACCAATGATATGATTAGATTTAAGTAAACGGAGAGAGAGCCCGAGGAGGGGAATAATTCGACGGTAGTAAAGCTGATGCCCTTTATTCACTCTCTTCAAGCTATATTTATAGCCTTATTGTGCTACAAACTAAGAAATAAAATAGGAACTACTCACCCCTAGAGCTTATCGACTAAAACAGACTAAGCTTATCTACTGCTGGCTAAAGATATTCAAAGATGCTAAGAAACAAACTTCACCGAGTCTCATGCTGCGTGCACGTATCAAATACATTCGCAGCAGTTAATAGGCTTAAACAAGGAATTAAATAGGAATACGGCCTGATACTTTAGGCATATTCGTCAATACGGTGGATGTAGGTGGAACGAAGCTGAATTTCAACCATACCTTGGTGTGCTACGTATTCATAGCCCCCAAAACTGATACATCAACCAATATGTATTATGCATTTATTTTGTAATAATACTTTGAGCCTTGCCTTTTTCCTGTTGCCGAATTTTGGATAACAACCATGGCGAGAAAGCATATCATATTTTTATTTGCTAAAATTTAATGCTAACTATACGTCCATACATTTAAAGCATTTCGAGCTGGTCTGCAAATGGCTAAAGACTTCCACATTTCTCACATCTGGTCAGAAGGAGACGTGCAGAAAATTGCCTCTATCTATCATGTTGGACATTGCTTATGGACGTCCCTTGGTAAATTCATTCCATCATCGCCAGTTGCAGGGTTCTTTATTAGTTTCAAAGTCGTACTGTCTTCTATTGTACATGCAATAGAGTAGCTTGTTAAATTCGCTTCTATTGTACCTAGGATAATTTCTTGTTCCATCTCTCCTGATACTCGAGCTTCTACTTATTAATGATTTTGTGCAATGAATTAGCCTAAGGGCTCTTCCCAAAACAAGTATTATTTTTATTGCTCAAAATTCTAGAACATATTGTGACATTTCTGCATAAAAAGACTTTCAAAATACAAATTATTTGAACACAATAGCAAATAAACACCACCATGCTAAACACCTTCTTAGGAGGTTCTTTGGTACCTTAAACAAGCTTTCAGCATACCAGTCCCTAACATTCGTTTTGATTTACCTTCGCAAGGAAGTTTATTATGGCAAGTGTTTTTCGGGCAAAAGTTGCCGGTGCCAGTGTTCTTGTACGTTAGGTACCGATACTCTCAGAAGGGCATCGATATCGATTACCTAGTAACTGATACTCTCCAGAAAATTTGCTCTGTGGAACCCAGCATAACATAAAAATGCAGAGATTGATTGTGGTCAATTACCTGATTGTCCGATTTACCCAGCATAACACGAGATACCGGCAAACAAACAGGGCCTACTTGCTTTAATTGGCTATAGGCTTTGTGCCGTGGGATGTAGAATTGGCAAAGAATGTCACCAGGGGTGTCAGCCAATGTACACGGTTTTGTTTTTTCAAAGACAAACAGCTGCCAGTCTGCCACACCGGTAAAAATAGTATTATTTTTCGGACGTGACGACTGTTCTTGTTTTTAAAAAACAAATTCATACGTAGCATGAGTGGCCATCTCAATGCCTGATTAATCAATGAAATCTTACACTTAAACATTCAGTTAGGCAAAAAAAAAAAGGAAAAGAAAAATAAAAATAAAAGGATAAAAACATTCAGTTAGGCAAGTAACAATAACTAGCAATTTATAATCAGCAATTCAGCATGGTACCAGATGCACCAAGTAAAGCGACGACAGCTTGTTTCAGAGATCCAGTCTTTACATGGGTGATGGCTTTCACTTTACAATCTAATATAAATAGGCAATGTATAATAGCTCACATGTGAAGTTCCTATAAAAGGGAGATACGAGGAGGCATGTGGAAAAATAAGAGAAAACCGTCAATTATCGTAGGTGCGGCATTCATCCGTCTCCGGGTTGTCCTTGCAGTAAGTCTCCAATGGGTCTGATTCCTTATTCTTCTGTCGTTCATGGCTTGCGGCAGAACTCAACTCCTCCACCGTATCCCACGCCGCTGCACACTCACCGCTCACGGGGTCACCGGCACAGACCTCCTCGGCAGTCTTGATGCTCTCGACTACCTTCTCGGAGATTCTCTCAGGTGTAGTAGCCATGGCTTGGATGCGCAAGCGACGACCTTCAAATTTGTGCAACCTCCATGGGTGGTTCAGGCACGGCGGCCTGAGCATGCCGGTGTCCGGCTTAGCCAGCACTCGAGTGGTAGTCGTGGAGAGACTCACTCCAGCTCCAGTCAGTGTTGTTGCCATTTTGCTATTGTTAATTTGGTTGGGCTGTAACAGTAAACAGGGGTGTAATGTAGAGACTTGAGACGAGAGAGAGATGCAAACCGCGAAGCAATAAATATAATGTGTTCTTCATTCACCGTGTACACATATTTCTTATCATATGGGAACCAATCAAAGACTTCCACGTTAGACCAACTTGAAGATACTCCATTCGGAGTCTCAGTCTCGGAGATCAACAAGGTCAAGTTTTAAACTTTTTTTTTCTTGTGACAAACGTGCCCTTCAGATCTGATGCAGGTAGTCCAACTCCAATTTATGTCCAAGTTGAATTCACCACCACTTGATTGAAATCAAATGGTTTAGCGTTTGTCTAAGTAACAAATCAAATGAAAACCACCCTTAGTTGAGGAAATTTTGGTGTTATTTTTTTAGAAGGGCACATGGTCATTAGGAAAGGGTCCTTTGGTCCATGTACAAGAAACAAAATAAAATATCAGCAGAGTCGTGTTTGAATGGTTTGAAAGTGAAGAGTGACCTTATTATGATCACAACACACAAAACTGATCTTTTGAGTTCTGAGTCGTTCTAACTCTTAAAAATATCCCTCCAAAAGAAAACAAAGGGTCATGAAAAAATCAAGAGGCCATCACCATCATCAAGATTATTCCAATAACAGCCGTTGTAACCCACAAATAATGACCTCGTAATGTTTTTGACCCACTTACTTGGGTGGTGTTTGGCATGGCCAGTGATGCATGACCACTGTGTGTATATGTATATCACGAATTTGCCACAACAAAGGCACAAAAGGGCAAAAGATGTATTTACAGTTTACTAGTGTCTATTAACAGCAATTAACACAACACAATTCCTAGTTGCCTATGGTTTCATGCTGGTGTGGAGGAAACAGCTATATGACATGGCCAATTGAAAAGGTAACCATCAAAGCACTTAAAAATAATGAGTTTGTCACACCCTACTACTGGTAGAAGAAATTTTTAAATAACAGCAGAGAACACTTTCATTGCTCATTAAGGCTAACAACTCAAAAAATGGCTGTCATGCTAAACACCACCTTGATCAATGTGTGATATTTGAATGGATGATAGGTACCTTGTCATTCGGTCTGCTTCAAAGTGGCCGATGACATGGAGGCTGGAGTGGAGAATTTTGCTGGGTGATCTTGTCTACAGTCTTTCGATAGGCAACTTTCTCGGGGGGGG